TACATATATATATATATATGTGAGTTAAGACTATTAAAAATTATACGATATAATTAAGTTCTTACATATATATATATATATACATATATATTGGTTCATAAACACAAAAAAATGGTTGATATAATCGGTATATATATTTTGTACATGATATTTTTACATTCCTATAAAATGATAATCAGACTTAACTTATTGATACTTTTATATTTGCAAATTTTATATCATTTTTATAATATAATATAATATAATATTATCTCAAATATACCTTGTTTTTATATATTATCTACATATACAGGATCGATATATTAATGCTCGCACGCTATAAAAAAGGCCTATGGTTTTTATACACAAATTTATACAAGATATAAAAAACGTGTATACTACACTGACACATTCATCGCGATAATAAATTGGTAGATATATAATTCAATAATTATACTTTATATATAATAAATCTCTGGTTCGCGTGTAGGTTTTTTGATACTTGAATTATCTAAAAGAATCTATAAATAGTTCTTGTTGCGATTATTAAAATGCTGAGCATTCTGTTGGCACTGTATTTGATACATTATCGACCTATATCTTATTAATAATGCTGCAATGTTTTATTATGGCTAATATTCTTAACATACGGCGTGTATATTGACGGATGTATTATATGTATTTTCTATAAACTTTCTATAAAGGGAATACTAGGAATACACATGTAATGATGCATATGCAGACTGTATACTTGAAATTTTACTGTACTATAGACTGCGGGAATGTAGAGAGTAATTATGTGATAATGATTGTTTCAAAAGTTTATAAATTTTCAAGTTTTATGATAATGTTCATACGTCCAACTTAATTCATCAAGACTATGATGTTTGAAGACTTGTGAAGATTGAAAAGACGTATTTAAATCAAACATTATCGGAAGTGGCATCATACGTCTTTAGTTATATCCACATTATTACATACGTAAATTCTGGAGAAGAAAAAATGTGAATATTTATATTTATTCTTTTTCGTATAACGGGAGAAGAAATTGGAAAGAATATTAGAACACAACAGTAAATTATACTGCCATGATTTTTGCATGTGATATATTTTTTGTTTTCTCAATTACTTAAAGAAAAAATAGATGAATATATTCATGATAAATTCTGCAAGATGTTTTGACATTAATGCTAATACACAGACTTATAGCAATAAAATATAATCTACATAGAACATTGCTCGAAAATATGTTATCAATAACACAATACATAAAGTATGAACGTAATACTTTTGTTATTTAATATACAGAATGTCTGAAAATCACATCAAAAGATAATTTATGGATTTTTCGGTGAAATTAAAGTCAATCTTTTTCTTGTGAAAAGTCACGCGAAGAAATTTATCGTTCCTCGCAATGTTTCAATTTTTATTATTAAATATCCAATATTAAAAATTTCAGTGCATTTTAAATAAAATTATTTGAGATGAAATAAAAGAATAAGGCTTTATATTATCAATTTCTATTCTGAGAACTTTTGGATTTTCAATTGTTGTTAACTGGAATTATCAATGCTTCGACACTCTTGTTAAAAAAAGTTTATTTTATAAATTGTTTAATGTGGGACATTCTGTATATATAGTATAATAGAAACAAAACAAATTAATGTGAAAATTTTTGTAACATCTATTATAAATACTTTATATAATTTAAAATTTTACTTTACCATTTTGCATTTTATTGTACATGATCTAAAGAATGTAGATATATTGTGCCTTGTGTATATTGTATATTTGTATATAAAATATATTTTACACGAATTATTATCAAAATGTAGTTTATTTGTACGAACAATAAATAAACAACTTTAATAAAATATATAAGTGTGATACTTTATTATACAAATTCATTTATCATGGTCCAACAAAAGATATTCGATATATAATTATATCAGTGGAAAGTGTATTTGTTATTAATTATTGTAAATCATTAATTTGTGATTGCTGTATTATTAATGTATTTTGGTCTTTTTCACATATGTGTGTGACTGTCTTTCATATGAATGATATCATTAATTATTAATATACATCAAATGCGCGCTTCCTTATACATATATTATATATATAAAGTTTAAATATAATAAATAAATAAGCCACTTGTTTTGATGAATTATATTTGTTTATATTTAATTTTTTATACAAAAAACATATTGCTAATTTTTATAACTTATACAATGAAATGCAAACATTTTTGCAAAAAAATATATAAGATACGTCAATGCTTCAATCCTAAAAGATCAAAATTTAGTTATCTTTTTCTCGTCGCATCGCTAATGGACAATATAATGGCTCTCCAAATAATACTAACACAACATAAAATATTTTATCTAAACATCACATTGGCAATTATTCTAATCAATAATAATTACATTATTTTATATATAATCACTTAAGTATTTTATATATTACAGCGATATTTACATTTTTCTTTTCCTCCATAATAATGTGTATATATAAAAAACGTACAAAAGTAAAAATATATAACTCCATTCTTTCGAAAGCTTGAGATATGTTGTCAATTAGGAAAAGGCTCATAGAACTGCAGTCTTTTGCTATAAGTTTACTTAATAAGAATTTTAGAGAATGATCGTAATGATCCATATTTTGATTATTTTTGTATATTTACTTCTTATAAAACTTTGATATATTATATTAAACTATGGTATAAAATTCTATTGTAGTTTTTTTAGTTGCATATTATATGGATATTCTTGATAGAAAATGTAAGGAATGTAATAAGTATGCTGCAAAAACGTTTTCGAAATACATTTAAGGAATCTGAGAAAACTTAGATCTCGCTTTTGTTTGCACGTCATAATAACAGGCGCTATATATTGAATTGTGAAAAAAGCTACATATGGAATATTACATATAGTCAATCATCTTTTTTGTAATATACGATCTTACCCTTACTTTTTTGTTGCAAGAAGATATATGTCTTTATAACTTTCATAATACGAAAGTGTAAGCATTTATTTCGAATTCCGTGCTTTTGCTTTCAAGCTGATATACTTGTATATTTTGTAATAGGCTTTCCCAGCTTATTGCACGTTTCGTTGGAATGTCCACAGATACCATACGTTTCATAAATTTATAAAAATCTGCGACTGCGCTCTAGACCGATTCTACACACAAACTTACGTTAAGAGTTAAATGACTTTATCCATTTGACATTAAGCAATCATAGGATGAGAGTAATTAATTTAATGAATACATATTTATATAGTGGAATTATAAATATTTTCACAATATGTATAACAATCAACAATTAAGTTTAATTAAACAATTTTATACGCTTTATGAAACAGAGGAAAACAAAATTAGTTATATATATAATCGATATACATAAAAATTCCATAAATGTAAATGTCTTGAACAATATTAAAAGGAATTGCATAGAAATGCAAAGAAGTGTGCCTTAATTAATGGTAATATTATGCTATCTTGGAAAGGTGTTCATACATCTTTAATTACGAGATTCATGTATCAACTATGCATAGAAAGATCATTAAATATCAAGCGTTTTCTAAGATCTCTAATTACAGCTCGGTAATAATTAATAATAATTAATACCGCCGTTCGAAAAATTTACATTCTAGAAATGTGTAAGTAAATTTCAAATTCATGACAATTGTGAACTTTCAGCACCACTAAGCGACTTGTGCAAAAAGTCAATTCTAATTGGACGTACTAAATTGATATTAGCGTTCGGTTGCAGATTTGTACGCTCGTAACAGAGCATACAAATAAAAAGCTTCCAAAAATTGGGAAAATATCAAATGTATATAATACACATATTATCTAGTTGTGTGTGCGCGCAGTTAATATTTTCAAAAGTATATTCTCAAACTATATATCGATGTTCTCTTTGTTAATTTCGTGTTGTTTTTTTATGTAAAGCTAAATTACAATGAGACTTTAATTCTGTAAATTCATCAAATTACAAGGCAATCTTCGTTCTATAGAATTGAAGCACTTTGAGAGATGCGGATGGATTAGAAATGCAAAAAATTAGAGTTCAAGCTCTTCGGCAGTGCGTGATAGTCTATGATTATCGATACGTCGTCGTTGACTACGTCTCACAGCATCCGCTCTGCGATACGGTTCGGATCTAAGGCCGAGAAGAATATCCTCCAGAGCACCGTTATACACTTCATCTTGCTGCAATAGCTTCTTCTCTTGCACCAATCGCGTTTTGTTCTTCAGTTCGTTTATAACAGCATCCTGACAATACACAATGGAAACATAACATTATGGAAGATGTTTAAAATCACATGACATATGTTATTACTCACAAGAATCACGGCTTTACTGCTACGTAAAGTTTTCAATATATTAAAGTAATATATATACCAGTTTATTAAAAAGTTTGGACAAACGTAAAATATTATTCAAAAGTCGTTTTATCTAATTTTTAATATTTGAGAAAAGAAATCTATCCTATTAATTTTTTATTTATACTTATATTATACTTAGATTGTGTTATTCATTTATGTCATATGATACATGAAGTTTTATACAGTAATAGCAAAAGGAATGTGATGATGGAAGAATTCTCTCAAGCAACATCAATGCGAGCTAAAACATGCTAATGCATATTTTGATGCATTGTTGTTAGTATAGATGTAATGTAAAATATGAGTTTATGTAAAACATATATGTACAGAATATCAATTATAGATATATAAATTCAAATTATTAATTAAAGAGTATAGAATGATATCAAAAATTTTTACTTGGGTTACTCTCTCCAATTATTTCTTCAGTTTTAAGTCTCAAATTCAAATATAGATCTTTTTTTTTTAATTAATTGTTTTTTCTACTGTTTAGTGGACAAAACATCTCCAATATATTAAAAAAAAATATATATATAGACATAGAAAACTTTTATAAACTTCTACAATAGAACCCTGCTATTCTGGAGATCAGTTGTCCTTCCATAAACTGGAATTCCCCTCTTGCATTGCTCTCCCACTAGACATTTGCCATATATATATATAGCTAACATGATCATGCGTAGAATGAAAAAGCGAGTGGAAGGCAGTGCAACAACATTTTCATTCTGCGCATATGCCATTAAAATAGAATGGGTATTATGAAGGATGCCAGAACAACAGAATAGTAGCTTCGTCTCAATGATTCCAGAATATCGAGATTCTGTTGCATATAAAATAAGAAGAAAACCACTTTTCATGACTTTCAATGAAAAGTCTACATGTTGTATATAATGTGATGTATGTGTACAGGTATTAAAAATCATATGTCAATAGGAGAGAAAGTGAGTAAAGACAAACTTACATGTTGTGAATTGTTTATACATTTGTTACGTTCTGAGCTCCAGTTCATTAAGATGGCGGTGTAACAGACTCTTGTTCGAGTTACAGCAAAATTTCGGTGACTTTAAATCCAAATAAATATGTAACAAATAAGAAAACAGATATTCATGAGATGTATAATGCTTAAGGAATGAAATTGCTAAAAAGCCACTCGAGAAATAATCAGAATCGATGTAATTGTTGATAATCCCTGTAACACATGTCATGCTAATTTCACAACATGCAGGAAAATAAATGTTTTTTATATTTATTTCTCTATACTTAAAACAGTTTTAATTTTTATAGATATCGCGAATTTATGTGTATAGATAAAAATATTTATAATATTATGTAATATTTAATAAGATTTCTTTATGAATCATTCTTTATGAATGATTTCTTATGAAAGATTATAATAACTCTCCTTTTAAGGACATATAAGAAATTATTCAATATGATTTACATAGTAATATAATTTAAATTTGAAGTGTAAATAACTCTTTCTTATTTTAAATTTATTATTTTTAATAAAACGGAGTTTGTGAAAGTGTTTATATATCACAGTATATATAATAATGTTATTAAAATACATCTGTAGTTTTCATTTAACAAAAAATAAAAAAAAATATCCATGCAACAAACTGATAAAACCAAGTAAAGAAAGAGTAAGCATAAAGAGAGTTTAGAAATTTTTCTTTGACATGAATTCAAAATAAATTAATTTCTAGAAACAAACAATAATTTATGTAAATTTATTTAGTTACATATATGTATATAAAATTTTTGTTTTTTTTTATATTTTTTACTCAAGTATTATATACAAAAATATTATTCATTAAATTTTTCTTGGATATAAGTTGTGATTATGTGATGTGTGATGAGTATTAATCTTAAATGAATGTGTAGCATTGATGTTGTAGGAGAGAAGTGCAAAGATGAGTAAATGATGCAACATACAATGAGTTTAATAGAAATTGTAATTACTATAGTTATGACAAACAATATTAGTAAGCAGATTCATAAAAGAAAAATGATCTAAAAACGTGATAGTGATATATACATTATACACACAATCTTAACAAAATGTCTTGTGGATAGTTAAACGATAATAATAATAATAATAGTAATAACAATAATAATAATAATAATAATAATAATAATAATATATAACATTTTAAATGTTTCTTAATTTAAAGAAATAAAAAGATTATAGCTTCACAACAGAATTCTTTATTTATCATATATATTTTCTAATTTTCCCGCGCTCTGTTATATTTCCTGCTCTTCAACCTATAATAATACAATATTAATGTGACATAATGCCTGAGTGTACTATGGGAAACATTGCAGTTAAAATAATGCTTTGTACTCAATGTGAGTGCGTAATAGCCCTTATGATAATCAAAATTATGCGCACAAACCACTTTAATTAAGTTTTTATCTTATACAATAGTGCTCCCGTAGAGAGAGAGAGAGAGAGAGAGAGAGAGAGAGAGAGAGAGAGAGCCTCAATAAATTTAATGTGTGCAAAATAATAGTCAATTTGACAGAAAATTGTATAGTGTCAAAGCTCCTGTTTTTTTTTGCATCCATATTAAATTATGACAGCATTAGTAAGAGAAATCATGTAATTTCTTTTTCTTATGATTATGTGCTTTACAAAATATTTTTTATATTAAAAGATAAGAACAATGCAATTTTTGTAGATATACATATTGAAATAAAATGTTTTTGAATTCGTATTTTAAGCATGGCATGCTATATATATGAAGAGAATTTAAGAAAAAAGATAAGTGCTTATACTGATCTCATTCATAATCGTCAATACTAGTTGACGCTTGTATAAATACATAGCGGTAAAGCATTAAAGACGTGCAACATACCTGTTGTTTCTTCTGATTCAATTTATTACGTTTTATGATTTCCTCTGAAGTATTTAAAGCTTCTGCTGCAGCAGCCTCTAATCTACGACGTTGTTCATTTTCTTGATCCGCTGCCTGCAATTTCGTACAATGTTTCATTATTCAATATATGCTATTGTGTTTTTGACAGAATTATGATTCAATGTAATACGAGTTAAAAATTTCGATATCTAGATAAAAGATCACTATTAACATACCTTAAATGCTCTCGCGAATCTGACAAGAAGTGAGAAAAAGGTATTAGCATCAGCTTGTCTCGGACTTTCTCCAAAGAATTCGACACATTCTCGGAAAGCTTCACCGGCAGTGCGTGCGTCAAGTTTCAAACGACGTAATTTTTCCTCAGAATTATTTAAGAAATCGCGCAATACTGTATTGTGCTTTTCTTTGCCGCGCAATTCGTATTCTTTTCGCACAAGATCCATGCCTTTTTCCAGCTCGTGAACGTCGGTTGTTATATTTTCCAGCGAAACTGTTATTAATACACAATTTTACGATATAAATATGCATAAATTGAATAACAGCAAATAGATGTGAAATAGAAATAAAATTTTATATCAAAAACTCAATTGACTTATTTCTACATACTTTACTAACATTCTCGTAATTATAACAAAAAATTTTTTTTATAGCAACCACGTTCTTCTTGAGTACAAATTTCTCATAATCTTATTCAATCTTTAATGACATACGCTTATTATTACACTAAAGTTCTAATAACATTGAAGGTGCTTCAAAATAATATATCCTCTCTTTTAATAATTGAATTTGAAGATTAATATTATACATACGAATAAAGCAAGTATACCTGTTGCAGCCTTGTCGATGTACATCAATTCTGATTCAAAATTGATCAGTTCTGGGAATTTGACTCGTATTGTAGCAACAATATAATGCAAAAGGCACATCCTTTTATCAGTCGATTTCGTATCCAATAATGTATCTAAGCTTTGTAATTTGAAGCCGTACGCAGGGCCTCGTTTGCTACTGTTTAAGTAGTTACCAAAGGCAAGAATAATTTCTAATACTGCTCTTAATTTTTTTGAGCTCTTAACCGAACTGGACGCAGATATCACAGCATGTATTTGTGGTGTAATAAGGTGTAAATTGTCGAAAAAGTTTCCTATGTAGTTCATAATTGACAGCTTGGTAGATATTCTTTCTACTTTACCAAGCTGCATCAAAAATTTATCTTCTTCCGTCAATAAGTTGACATTTTTCTTTTCTATAATATATTCGCGGTAAGCCTTTATCTGAAAAGATATATCATTTATTAGTATCATAAAACAAGTTTTTTTTTAAATAATAATGGTATTTATGTGTGTCGAGTAAGGGCAAGCATACTTCTTGATCTGTAGGTACCATACGTTGCAACAATTCCACATTTTCAAGCGAGAGGACTTTCAAGTCGAGAGCGTTTACCGCCATTATTACTTTCTCCACTGGCATTTCCATTTTGCGACGCGATATGGCTAAAGCGAAAAGAAAACGGGAAAAATTACGATAAACTTGTTTCTACGTCAATAAACGCCATAAGTAAAGTGTATTACTTACCAATATTTCGCAATCGCGTGTGTTCCAAAAGTGATATATTTTCAGGTTTCTTGAATCGTTTACTGGGAAAGCTTTGAAGTCCATCAATCTCACTACTAGCAACCACGTTCTTCTTGAGTACAAATTTCTCATAATCTTATTCAATCTTTAATGACATCCGCTTATTATTACACTAAAGTTCTAATAAGATTGAAGGTGCTTCAAAATAATATATCCTCTCTTTTAATAATTAAATTTGAAGATTAATATTATACATACGAATAAAGCAAGTATACCTGTTGCAGCCTTGTCGATGTACATCAATTCTGATTCAAAATTGATCAGTTCTGGGAATTTGACTCGTATTGTAGCAACAATATAATGCAAAAGGCACATCCTTTTATCAGTCGATTTCGTATCCAATAATGTATCTAAGCTTTGTAATTTGAAGCCGTACGCAGGGCCTCGTTTGCTACTGTTTAAGTAGTTACCAAAGGCAAGAATAATTTCTAATACTGCTCTTAATTTTTTTGAGCTCTTAACCGAACTGGACGCAGATATCACAGCATGTATTTGTGGTGTAATAAGGTGTAAATTGTCGAAAAAGTTTCCTATGTAGTTCATAATTGACAGCTTGGTAGATATTCTTTCTACTTTACCAAGCTGCATCAAAAATTTATCTTCTTCCGTCAATAAGTTGACATTTTTCTTTTCTATAATATATTCGCGGTAAGCCTTTATCTGAAAAGATATATCATTTATTAGTATCATAAAACAAGTTTTTTTTTAAATAATAATGGTATTTATGTGTGTCGAGTAAGGGCAAGCATACTTCTTGATCTGTAGGTACCATACGTTGCAACAATTCCACATTTTCAAGCGAGAGGACTTTCAAGTCGAGAGCATTTACCGCCATTATTACTTTCTCCACTGGCATTTCCATTTTGCGACGCGATATGGCTAAAGCGAAAAGAAAACGGGAGAAATTACGATAAACTTGTTTCTACGTCAATAAACGCCATAAGTAAAGTGTATTACTTACCAATATTTCGCAATCGCGTGTGTTCCAAAAGTGATATATTTTCAGGTTTCTTGAATCGTTTACTGGGAAAGCTTTGAAGTCCATCAATCTCACTACTACCGTTGGCCACGTGCCCACTCATGCCGATCTTAAATCGCTCTTCAAAGTCGGAGAAGTCAATGTAGTTGTGTAGACGATCGTCATCCAGTTCATTGAAGATAGTACCTCGCACTTGATTAGGTTTTAGAGCAATCCAATTAAGCGTAGGAAGTTTGTACTTTGTTTGAACCTGGATGTGTGGAAATACAATTACATAATTAAAGTAGTGATCTGAGAAAAATATAAATGGTAGTTAAATGTATTACTAATAAACTAATACATATATACATACTTTTCGTTTAATAGTCATTGCTCCATCGGGCGCTTGCATCATGCCGGCGGGTGGCGGAGGTATAGGAACAGGTGGCGGTAATTTCTGATCTCCTGGAGAAAATGGCGCCATAGGAGGCGGCGGTGGACATGGCGGCGGGGGTGGAGGTGGCGGCGCAGGAGCCTGTGGAGGCGGTTGATCCGAAATCGGTGATGGTGCCGAGGTAAATATTTCAGATGTGATGTCATTCGAGTTACTTAGAGGACTCGTTGCGATACCGTTTCGTAGAATAACGGCTGAAAGATTAATAAGGATGCATCAAAGATCTTGGTTTATCGCAATTGATTTATTGCAATAATTATATGTATACAAATACAATCAAACTTCCGCATTTTTAATATTTTAATCAATTTCTCGATTCTTAAAAAATAGTATATATGCAAAATAAAAATGTCATAGAATAATATTTCCTTATATATGCGATGGTAGATGTAAAATAGTGGAAAAACAACAAGGAATTGATAAAAAATATAGGGAATAAGAGTAATAAAAATATATAGAAATGTTAAGAATATAGAGATTTGATTGTACTTTGATCTAGAGAATAAAATACCTGATGAGCCTTTCGTAAGCGTATCCGTGAGACTTTCCAACTCGATGATTTTATTTTCCAGAACGCTTTGCCTTCGGGCGGAATCTTGCCTCTGTCTCTTCAAAGCTGTAAGTTCCTCTTCTACTAATCTACGCGCTTCCAAGGCGTCGGCGTATTCTACTTTTAATGCGCCTAATTCAGTCTCCAACTCCGCCAATTTCGCCAACGATTCTCTTTCTAATTCTGCCATACGATCATGCGCCTGTACCAACAATTATTGCAATTAATAAATTAAATGTATATATTTTAATGTAATTATCTCATTATAATATAAGAAATTTACAAATCGAAAGTGGATCAAACTTATATAATCTAGCGTATTTTAAATATAAAAGTAAATATAAAATTGGAGAATTTATAAATTACGCGTTTATATTTCATGGCTTATTTTTTATACATCATGTAATAGCATAGATAAAGCTATATCGCTTACATGACCAAGTTCGTCCTCTAATTCCGCTACTTTCTCTAATGCTGCAGTCTTTGTTTCGCTGTCCTCCATCAAGGCAGCTACGTCAAATACGTTATCCAGGTAAGCCGAGATTTGAACCTAAAAAAATGAGGTATCTCGATTAACTGTCATCATTTTCAAATAATAAACAAAAAAGAGTCATAATAAATTTGTCGCTTTACTTTTTTTTATTTTTCGTTAAATTAATCGAAATTAGTCGAATAAAGATTCAAGATTTGAAATATATATATCCATTTATTATGCCAATTAAGGATCAGCGTTTAATTTTATAACATAAAATATTCAATTTATTCACCTGCAAATCTTCGCTCTCCGTGTGTCTAAGTTTCTCGAGATATTCATCCAATCCAAGTTTCGTAAACTCGTATTGCAAATGTACCCTGAAGTTCATGTCCTCGACCGAATGCACGACAATATTGACAAACTGCATACAGGCGACCATAAATTCTATATGAAAACTATCGTATTGGGTGAAATATGCCATGAGCGTAAAGATATTTTATTTTATTACTCAAAGATATATTTTTCATTAACTAAACAGAGCAATTATTTTCTAGATAAATGTGGAAGTTGGCTTGTAAGTATAAAAACATCCATTTCTATTCTATAGTTTGCTAGAAGTAGAAATCTCGTATGTGTTATTGTTTTTGGTGGATTAATGCGTATCTAATTTATTATGTTTATCTAATAGGCTAAGATATATTTTCCGATTCGTCTCTTTTTTTGGTCTTCTAATCAACTTCTTACCGGTTTGTAATTTTTCCTCAGAGCTTGTGTGAGATTCCAAGAGCCGTTGCTCATGCCGCATCATCAATAGCCTGAAGCTGAGGTAGTCTATCAAGGCATCTAGGCCTTGATTTTCCTCGTCCAAGAACTCTCTTACCCATCTATAACACTATTCAGCTCAGAATACAGCCTTTCGAAAGGATGAGAGCACGAATGAACGAACTCTAATCGTATTAGTACAATTATCTATCAATTATCATGATTAATGATTGAGATGATTGGCTGATTATATAATTATATAACATAAAATAGAAAGTGGACGTATTACAATTTCAATTTTCTTCTTCTTTCTCAATTTAAATGTTAAAAGTTTACAAACGTTCAAACGTTTTTAGTTAGTGTTATTATTCATAATGGCACGCATGCATAATATGCAAACATGAATGTCATCCTTTGCTTCACCCATATTTAAGCGCGCCACGTGTCGGGATCTCCTTTTGACACCAGGACTGTCTTTAAGCTCGTGGAGAGGCGGCCTCAAGCATCCGTTGTTTAACGTTGAGGTATCACCGGTGCTTGCTATGTCAATATTTTTATTAACTATTTTTTAACTACGATAAATCATCAGTCTGCTATAAAAAATAATTTTAAAAAATTTAATTATGTATATATTATTCACATTCTAGTAATTTTTATGTCGCTGTATGTCCTTTAAAATATTTATAATCTTTAATTCAAAGATATTTTATTTTATTACTCAAAGATATATTTTTCATTAACTAAACAGAGCAATTATTTTCTAGATAAATGTGGAAGTTGGCTTGTAAGTATAAAAACATCCATTTCTATTCTATAGTTTGCTAGAAGTAGAAATCTCGTATGTGTTATTGTTTTTGGTGGATTAATGCGTATCTAATTTATTATGTTTATCTAATAGGCTAAGATATATTTTCCGATTCGTCTCTTTTTTTGGTCTTCTAATCAACTTCTTACCGGTTTGTAATTTTTCCTCAGAGCTTGTGTGAGATTCCAAGAGCCGTTGCTCATGCCGCATCATCAATAGCCTGAAGCTGAGGTAGTCTATCAAGGCATCTAGGCCTTGATTTTCCTCGTCCAAGAACTCTCTTACCCATCTATAACACTATTCAGCTCAGAATACAGCCTTTCGAAAGGATGAGAGCACGAATGAACGAACTCTAATCGTATTAGTACAATTATCTATCAATTATCATGATTAATGGTTGAGATGATTGGCTGATTATATAATTATATAACATAAAATAGAAAGTGGACGTATTACAATTTCAATTTTCTTCTTCTTTCTCAATTTAAATGTTAAAAGTTTACAAACGTTTTCAAAAATTTAGTTAGTGTTTATAATACATTTGTCTGACACTATTCGTCCAAAAAACACGTCTAAAGGAAAAGTAAAAGATCCTGTTTCAATTAACAAAGATGATTAGTAGATAAATTTTAAAGACTTTTGGCAAAATAGCAGATGAATGATGAATAATTATTATGACGATTGAACGATTATTAGAGTCGCTTACTCAATGTGATTTGTGCGCAAAGATATTTCCAAATCTCGTAATACTTGGGTCGATGTAGATTCTCCAACCATTTTTCTTTTCTGGAAGAATGTAAGAAAACGATACGACTGTGTAATCATTAGTATCAGTTTGACTGAGACCTTTTGCGAGCGAGAAAAGATGTAGTATAATATAATAATCTTCGAAAAAAAATAAAGAAAAAGATGCGCGTTTATCCGTATTATCTGATTCTCCTCACATGCTATACTGAAATATCAGAATCTCTAGATAAGCCACATTTAATATGTAGTAGATATAATTTGTGTGTGTGTTAAAAATAAACTATTTATATCTCATATTTTCGTTGTATATTTCATGTTAAATGTGATCAACTGATCTGCACATTCTGATATTTCACATATATGTCAACACGATATGTAATTAAAGCACTAAAGATGCAGTTATAATACGGATATATTTTTAAAGTGTTTTTTTTTCGCCGGAAAATTAATTATATCGACATATATTGGAGAGTCGTCACGTACTGTTACAGCTCAATATTTTTAACTCAAATGAGATATCGAGAAATTGATACTTTTATGTTTGCAAGAAGCATGTAAGAGAATCGATTTAAATATGTAAGAAGAAACATATGGTTCCACATTTAAAGAACAAAAATAATCTAGATTTTAAGATAATCTAGATCTCTAAGAAGCCACGTCATCTAAAAAAATGTCGATGTCGCAAGCAATGTATCACTTGTAATCAAAAAAGTATTAATAAACAGTTCTCGATATTTCATCTCAATTAAGAAATATTGACTAGTAACAATTAAGTGACATCAAAATATATTGCGATATATTTGAGGGAAAAAATATTAAAAAAAAACTGAAAAAATAAAAAACAACGTACTCGATGGCTTCGTGATGCTTTGGGGTCCAGATAGGTGCGTAACTTTGCCAAATAATGGGACGGTGGATCCTTAGCTTGTACTCTTTCCTGTAAATATTTCAAATGTTTGAATATAATAAATTTTTCGATTTTTTGTATAAGCAAATTAACTTTGCTTTATTTTTGTTTTAATTGCGGCTAATCAAATGTCAAGAGAAACTCGGCAATATTTCTTCGAAGAATTGAGATTCATTCGCGAAATCGACTTCGTCGCATGTTAATTAATGAATACGAATTATTGTTTCGGAGCTTTTCGAGAATTAGTTTGTAGTCTGCGGCGGCCTTAGCAGTTACATTTAGAGAAGGGAACGCCGCGAATACATGCGTGTGCATCACGAGAAGGGATGCTGCATATTTTTTGCGGGCCGTATCGTATAATAAGCACGGCTTGCATTACATCCGTCTCGTGTTACACATGTGCCCTACAGGCCGGTTCAAACACATTTAGACGAACCATCCATACCCGCGAACTATTCCTTGAGAAGATGCGGCGTTCGTACATTTTCTTAAGATATTCATCTTGTATGTATTTTGTTAAGTAATAAGAGATCACAATGTATCACAAGAATCATTCGTTGCAATCAAAATAAATTTTGATTAAAGCGGATGTGCAGAATTTTGTTATTTCAATACTAACAGCAACACTCTGGTAATAATATAGAAGAAGCTATAATAAGTAAGTGACACTCTCTCTTCTCTGTGCTTTAGCCTACCCACGTTAAATGTTTCTAATATGCATTAAAATTAAAGAATAAATTTCTAAAACTTATATTAGAAAAAAGTAAATATAATAGTATTTTTTTGGTGTTATAAAAATAATTTAAAGTAATCTAGTTTATATATATA